AAGTGGGCTATCTGGGAATGGGATAGTACTGGGCAACAGTATATGGGGCCCATGTGGTTTCAGTATCATGGGCCCAACATGGGAAGCCCATGTGGGCAGACCACATTGAACCCACATGACATCAGCATGGGCTGACCATATATGGGTTAGACCTGGGTGTGGATATGTAGGCCCCAGTCCTTTTTTAAGTGGGCTATCTGGGAATGGGATAGAACTGGGCAACACTATATGGGGCCCATGTGGTTTCAGTATCATGGGCCCACCATGGGAAGCCCATGTGGGCTGACCACATTGAACCCACATGACATCAGCATGCGCTGACCATATATGGGTTAGACCTGGGTGTGGATATGTAGGCCCCAGTCCTTTTTTAAGTGGGCTAACTGGGAATGGGATAGAACTGGGCAAAACTATGTGGGGCCCATGTGGTTTCAGTATCATGGGCCCAACATGGGGAGACCATGTGGGCTGACCACACTGAACCCACATGACATCAGCATGGGCTGACCATATATGGGTTAGACCTGGGTGTGGATATGTAGGCCCAGTCCTTTTTTAAGTGGGCTATCTGGGAATGGGATAGTACTGGGCAACAGTATATGGGGCCCATGTGGTTTCAGTATCATGGGCCCAACATGGGAAGCCCATGTGGGCAGACCACATTGAACCCACATGACATCAGCATGCGCTGACCATATATGGGTTAGACCTGGGGGTGGATATGTGGGCCCCAGTCCTTTTTTAAGTGGGCTATCTGGGAATGGGATAGTACTGGGCAACAGTATATGGGGCCCATGTGGTTTCAGTATCATGGGCCCAACATGGGAAGCCCATGTGGCAGACCACATTGAACCCACATGACATCAGCATGGGTTGACCATATATGGGTTAGACCTGGGTGTGGATATGTAGGCCCCAGTCCTTTTTTAAGTGGGCTATCTGGGAATGGGATAGTACTGGGCAACAGTATATGGGGCCCATGTGGTTTCAGTATCAGGGCCCAACATGGAAGCCCATGTGGGCAGACCACATTGAACCCACATGACATCAGCATGCACCTACCATATATGGGTTAGACCTGGGTGTGGATATGTAGGCCCAGTCCTTTTTTAAGTGGGCTAACTGGGAATGGGATAGAACTGGGCAAAACTATGTGGGGCCCATGTGGTTTCAGTATCATGGGCCCAACATGGGGAGACCATGTGGGCTGACCACACTGAACCCACATGACATCAGCATGGGCTGACCATATATGGTTAGACCTGGGTGTGGATATGTAGGCCCCAGTCCTTTTTTAAGTGGGCTATCTGGGAATGGGATAGTACTGGGCAACAGTATATGGGGCCCATGTGGTTTCAGTTCATGGGCCCAACATGGGAAGCCCATGTGGGCAGACCACATTGAACCCACATGACATCAGCATGCGCTGCCCATATATGGGTTAGACCTGGGTGTGGATATGTGGGCCCAGTCCTTTTTTAAGTGGGCTATCTGGGAATGGGATAGTACTGGGCAACAGTATATGGGGCCCATGTGGTTTCAGTATCATGGGCCCAACATGGGAAGCCCATGTGGGCAGACCACATTGAACCCACATGACATCAGCATGGGTTGACCATATATGGGTTAGACCTGGTGTGTGGATATGTAGGCCCCAGTCCTTTTTTAAGTGGGCTATCTGGGAATGGGATAGTACTGGGCAACAGTATATGGGGCCCATGTGGTTTCAGTATCATGGGCCCAACATGGGAAGCCCATGTGGGCAGACCACATTGAACCCACATGACATCAGCATGGGCTGACCATATATGGGTTAGACCTGGGTGTGGATATGTAGGCCCCAGTCCTTTTTTAAGTGGGCTAACTGGGAATGGGATAGAACTGGGCAAAACTATGTGGGGCCCATGTGGTTTCAGTATCATGGGCCCAACATGGGGGACCATGTGGGCAGACCACACTGAACCCACATGACATCAGCATGGGCTCATGTCATGGGCCCAACATGGGGAGACCATGTGGGCTGACCACACTGAACCCACTGTGGGTTCAGTGTGGTCAGTACATATCCACGCCCAGGTTGGACCTGGGTGTGAATATGTAGACCCCAGTCTTTTTTTAAGTGGGCTAAATGAGACAAAATTGTAGAACAATGTACAGGGGTTGGACAATGAAACTGAAACACCTCTCATTTTAGTGTGGGAGGTTTCATGCCTGAATTGGACTAGCCTGGTGGCCAATCTTCATGAATTGCACATTGCAACAGTAAGAGCAGAGTGTGAAGGTCCAATTAGCAGGGTAAGAGCACAGTTTTGCTCAAAATATTGCAATGCACATAACATTATTTGGGACATACTGGAGTTCAAAAGAGGGCAAATTGTTCACCAAGACAGCAAGTCTTTGTGATTATCAAGAGCCACAGTATCCAGGGTAATGTCAGCATACCACCAAGAATGACGAACCACATCTAACAGGATTAACTGTGGATGCAAGATGAAGCTGTCTTAAAGAGATGTTTGGGTGCTAACCTGGATTGTATCCCAAAAACATAAAACCACGGTGCCCAAATCACGGTAGAATTAAATGTGCACCTCAACTCTCCTGTTTCCACCAAAACTGTCCGTCGGGAGCTCCACATGGTCAATATACACAGCCGGGCTGCTATAGCCAAACTTTTGGTCACTCGTATCAATGCCAAACGTCGGTTTCAATGGTGCAAGGAGCGAAAATCTTGTGCTGTGGACAATGTGAAAACATGTTCTCTGATGAGTCTACCTTTACTGTTTTCCCCACATCCGGGAGAGTTACGGTGTGGAGAAGCCCCAAAGATGCATTCCAGCCAGAGTGTTGTATGCCAGAGTGAAGCATGGGGGTGGATCATTGATGGTGTGGGCTGCCATATCATGGCATTCCCTTGGCCCCACTTGTCCAAGACGAATTGATGCTGTATTGGCCTCAAAAGGAGGCCCTACACCACGCTAATAAGTTATTGTGGTCTAAAACCAGGTGTTTCAGTTTCATTGTCCAACCCCTGTAGTTAACCTGTCACTTTCAAAATTTTGACTGTATGTCAAAGCAAAAGCTGCAAGAGCAAGATTCTCAAAACTTGGAAAGAATTACCCGAGATGTCAGCTTTATAGTCTTTGCCAAGGCAATTGTTACTCAGCTGGCCTCTAATGGAGTTGATGTAAGGTAAATTGTAGAATTTAATTTTTTCCTTGTAGGAAACCTCGATGATAGTAAAGGTTGGTGACCTTGACCATTGTCGAGGTCTCCAGGACGAAGGTGACCTCGTCTTGGAGATCACCCAAGGATATATTTTGCTGATAGAACAGAACATCCATGTCTTCCTAATGTTTGAACCTAAAACATGTTCACTGTGTGATATCTATGCCTGGCTCATTTACAAACACTAGGCTTCCAGAGGACCAGGATATTAAAACATTAAAAAATAATTCTACAATGCTTTATTTTTTTAAACCAGTTCAGTATTGCTCTAGCCACACTTTGAACCCTTAACATTTTTTCATGTTATTATTTTATGCTAGAACAGTCCAGTCCAGTCTCCAAGCCAGTACGCATGAGTGGGCCCCCCTTGGGTTTGTAGTAGGCCATATGGGTAATGAGTGGTCATGGGTTTTATCTGGGCAAACCTCATGGGACACATATGGTTAACTAAAATGGGACCCCTATGGGCTGGCCCATTTGGGCTAAATGTATGGGCCCTATTCAGCAACAATGTGGGCTAACTGGAAATGGGACAGAAATGGGCAACACTATTTGGGGCCCATGTGGTTTCAGTATCATGGGCCCCACATGAGAAGCCCAATGTGGGCTGTCCACATTAAACTAACATGACATGAGCATGGGCTAACCATACATGGGTTGGACCTGGGCAGGAAAATGTAGCCCCTAGTACTTTTTTTCATGGTCTAAATGGGACAAAATTGTAGAACATTTTAATCGACAATGTGGTTACCCTGTCACTTTCAAACTTTTCACTGTATGTCAAAGCAAAAGCCAGTTCAGTATTGCTCTTGCTACACTTTGAACCCCTAACTTTTGTTTCATTTTATTATTGCAGTCTGAATGTCTTAAAAACATTTTTTTGAAATAATCTGTTTGAAATATATACGTAAACTCATATTCTGGTGCTTACTCAAAATTAAGCACAGAGTGGTCATGGTTGAGCTTTAGTCCTTGTTTTATTTTTAATAATAATAACTTTTTATTTATTATTATTATTATTTTTTATCAATTGGATGTTTAGACATCCATAGAGTTTAGCCTGTTCGCAGCAAGATTTAAATTTTATTTGGACAAATAGTTCAGATCAGACCATTGTGAAAAATATCACAAAATGTTTAGAAAATAAACAAAACTCATTAGTGAGAGACAAGAGTAAAATTTGAGCATCTGTTTTTTCATATATTTGCAAACATTTTCCAAGTCATCAGTATAAATAAAAATAAAAATAAAAAAACATTTCTGTTAATGATTCATTTGGTTCCAATTACCTTTTTGTTCATTGTTTGCTCTGAGGCACCGTTGCCAATAAAGGTTGGTGAATTGAAGTACCGGTAGGCACTTTACACATCCACTGAAGAAAATAGTTCCAAAACATATTTGAATAAGGAGGACAACGAAATGTATTTATTTACATTGAGAACTTTTGCTACATCGGTTTTACATTTGTTAAACCGATGTAGCACTCTCAAAAATTAATCTTGTGTTTCTTGGAAAACGTAAAATGACCTGCGGATGGATATGCGGTTTCAAAATCAAGCCTGTTCTCTTCATCAGTCCGTTGGCGCGGAGTCTGCCTGTTGGCTGATCTACGAAAGAATCTGTAAGTACATTCTACCTAGTACCAAATTTTAGGGAGAGATTTTAAATCGCTTGTTAAAAAAATTGTTGCTCGTAACAAATCGGACGACAGTATCCCAAAAGAGACTTAATTGTTATTGTTATTTTTGCTTTTCTTTAGGGTGATACTTTTTTCTGATATTGCTAACACACACAGCTACACACAATAAGCAGATTTTAGTGCAGACCGATTTCAAACGCAGCGTTGTGGGCCAAACCATTTTCAAATACCGCCGCCATTCTATTTGTTGAGCTGCCATTGGTTCATTTGAGCGCCAACGAGGCAGAATGAAATCGGTTCACTGAAGAATCTATGTTGCTAGCAGAGGTTGTTACAAAGTGTCTGGACACAATAAAACCATTTGTATGATTTAAAAAGAGTAACTATTGTGCTTTCATTCTATGTACTTGGGCTTTTAATAATCTTTCTCACAGTCACATCAGCATGCATGGGTGGGTCTCATGTATGGATTCAGGCTGGTTTGGCTGGGACCCATGCAAGATTATTATTGTCGTTTTTTTCAATAAAACTGCATTGAATCGTTTAGCTTTGGGCTATATAGGTAATGATAAGAGGGCATGGGTTTTATCTGGGCCAACTGCGTGAGGCTCAAAAGGTTAACCGAAATGGGACTCATATTGTTGGCTCAATTGGGTTAAATGTATGGGCCCAATTCAGCATTAACGTGGGCTAACCGGGCATGGGACAGAAATGGGAACACTATATGGGGCCCATGTGGTTTCAGTATATTGGGCCTAAAAGGTTTTTTGTAAATAGGATGAAGGCATTGTAGTTCATATTTTTAAATTCTTTTTTTAATTGTTGTGTGACACTTTAAAGCGTTTTGTTATGTCATAGTTTATTTCAATCTGCCGCTATTGTGTTGGTCTAGAGTAGTCATCAGTGTCAGGGTTCCTGTGTGTGTATGTGAGTGTCGCATCTTATTTCAGCGAGGAGCCCGTGGAGCTTGGCACAGGTGGAGGAGCAGCAGAATCTTCAGTCTACGCTAGATTGACTGAAGATTCTACTGGTGTATGCTAGATGGTTGCATACACCGGTAGTCACTCTGGCCTCTCCTGTTGTGAACAGTTTTCTGAGAACGTTTCTGTGTCTACTAGAAGTCACCTGGTCTCTGTGTTTGTTCGATCCTAGGGGTTTTGTCGCCTCATTCGAGAACTCACCAGTGAATACCTGCCTGCTCGCTCCGCCGATTCCACTGCCTCCACTCCACCCTTCGAGCTTCCAGCTCTCTTCCATTCCCACCTCGCATTTACCTTCGGAACCGCTGCACACCCTCTCTCAGGAACCTGGCATCTCACACCCACGCCTCGAAAGACCCGCACCGAAGTAAGCCTGTTCCTGTTTCCCCTCCGATCACTCATTCTAAGCCCGTCATAACTAAGTTCTCGTTTCAGGCCAAGCTGGTCGAGTGGTCCTCACCCTTCCGCTGATGTCCGGGAAATAGATTTTATTTTGTCCTGTTGTAAATAAATCACTCACTCATCCCTATCCAACGTGTGGTTACTGCATGTGGGTCCGTAAATTGAAACCCATCATGTCAATCAGTGGCCAAGCCTGAAACAAATATTGAAAGATGAAGAAATTCTTTTTGATATTTTTGCAATATTTAGCTAGCAGTTATGTGAAATGTACTTATATTTAATTGTAGCTCTAATTTTTTTATATGTGCAATGTTTTAGGCTTTATTAGTTACATTTATAGTGATTTTCTAAACTTCTCTTAAGAGTAATACTACTGTCTTAGTCCTGTCACGTTAACAAAGAAATTAGGATAATTGCAAAACTGTTCAGTGTTTACAATATAAGGCTTCAGTAGTTAATCTATACAAAGGCTGTTTTGCCTTAATTTTTTTATTTTTTTGAAAAGTCTAAATGTTATATTGCACTAATAAAATATATATTTTGCAGGCTTCAAGAGGATCAGCGTGTGAAGATCACTTTATAATGATTTGAAAAAGGTAGATTAATATGTTAGTGAAATTAAGCACATAAGAGTGATATAATGACAAACTGATGAACAAAAACAAAATGTTGTCCTGTTATTGTCATTGTACTTAAGGTTGCCATGGCTACAGAAATTGGAGGAGCATCCTTAGATGACACAATACAACCAGCTGTGCGATTCCTCATGTCCCATGAACTGGAAGTCCAGTTCAACCTTTTTGGCCAACATTGGAAACAAGCTCTTGGACCTGCGTCTCTTTGATGTTTTGTATGGTAAATATCAGTTTTTATTGTCAGAGTAACTTTTTTTTTTCACTTTTCTTTCTTAAACATATGTTAATTTATTTTGGTTGTTTTATGCTTTTGTTTGTTATTTTTAGTAATGTTTTTAGGTTAAAAATTGAGTCTTCAATTTTTGGTTTTATTTGAACAGTATTCTTTCACTGTTGTTAAGAACTTAAAAATTTGAAGGTAATATTGTTTGCATTTCAAACAATATTAAAATAACCACAAAACCACGATAGAACCTAGTAGTTGATTTATATAGATGGATATATTTTAAATTTACAGTAAGAATATAGTTTCTGTACATAATAATGATGACTCAAGAGTCCTTTTGATTATGGCATATCTCTGCAAGCATTTTTGCCCCATGAAGGGGGAGATGCAAATCTCATGAATGTTACATTGTGCTAAAATGAAACACTAATACAATTTCTACCTTTGCTTGTTATTTCAGGGGACTTAAAAGAAATGATCCATCTACAGAATCACACAAGCATACAGCAAAGACTCTCGAAGTGGTTTACTGGAGCCCGAGTGGAAGTGGAAATAGACTAGAGAGACTGCCAGTTCAAACTCAGGTTGGGGAGGTCTTTCAAGATGGACAGTTTCAGTAAAGTATGAGAGATTTCAAATTTAAGCATGCATATGGCATGTAGGTTATTTTTAAAAATGTTTAACAAAAATGTATTGTGAAAGATCTTCATAGGTGTGTATATTCACATTGTGTGTATCAATGTGAATATACGTGTATAAAGTTATATAGATAGTATTTAGATGTATACATTTATAGACCTGTAGGAAAATATGTAGGTGTCTTTATTTGTGTGCATCTATAGATATATATTTATAGATCTGTTTATAAGTTTGTTATAGTAAACTAGCTTCTGTTATTTTCAAAGATGTTGTGAATAATTGCAGATTTCTTTTTGTGGCACCATTCCCTGAGTATTAATGAAGTTCTAATAATTGCTGTAGTGAGGTAAAAAATAACTCCTGACAATATTTTAAATTACTAAATAAAAGCCTTGAGCAAAATAAATTTTTCATCTCTTTTTTTTTTTTTTTTATTTGAACACGTTTTAAGCTGGACTTTGGATTGTTGATCAAGATTGCATATCTATGAATGTAATTCACATCCAGGTTAGATGAGAATTGTTCCTACAGGATTAAGGCATCTGGGTCCCACTGAAAGCCCAGTTAGCACCCATTGAAATCAACCTGGGCAAACCCATGTGGGGCCACCATGGAAACCGTGGACAAACCCACTTGTTACCCATATTCTAGCCCAGTTCAGACCCAATTGGGACCCAGGTAAATATTCCTGACAGCACCCTAGTGGGCCACAGATGAGCCTCATGTAAGTTAACCACATGGGCCCCACTGAAAACCCAGTCAGCACCCATTAAAATCTACTTGGGCAAACCCATGTGGGGCCACCATGGAAACCGTGGACAAACCCACTTGGTACCCATATTCTAGCCCAGTTCAGACCCAATTGGGACCCACGTAAATATTCTTGACAGCACCCTAGTGGGCCACAGATGGGCCTCATGTGAGTTAACCATGTGGGACCCACTGAAAACCCAGTCAGCACCCATTAAAATCTACTTGGGCAAACCCATGTGGGGCCACCATGGAAACCGTGGACAAACCCACTTGGTACCCATATTCTAGCCCAGTTCAGACCCAATTGGGACCCACGTAAATATTCTTGACAGCACCCTAGTGGGCCACAGATGGGCCTCATGTGAGTTAACCATGTGGGACCCACTGAAAACCCAGTCAGCACCCATTAAAATCTACTTGGGCAAACCCATGTGGGGCCACCATGGAAACCGTGGACAAACCCACTTGGTACCCATATTCTAGCCCAGTTCAGACCCAATTGGGACCCACGTAAATATTCTTGACAGCACCCTAGTGGGCCACAGATGGGCCTCATGTGAGTTAACCATGTGGGACCCACTGAAAACCCAGTTAGCACCCATTAAAATCTACTTGGGCAAACCCATGTGGGGCCACCATGGAAACCGTGGACAAACCCTTTTGGGACCCATATTGCCTGCCCACTTATATCCCATATGGGGCCCACCTAGGTGTGCTGGCTGGGATATTCTGCCCTTATTGTGATCTACTTATTATAAATTTTGCTTTATTTGTGTTTGTATTCATGTTTTTATCTGTGAATATATTATTTGGATTCCAGCCATCATATTTAGCCTCTTATCTTTGTAGAGTCTCAGCGTTATGGGTAGCTGTGGTGTCCATATCCAGCAGCCACTGGACAAGAGGGGAGATACTGGACAGGTCACTAGTGAATCAAGGGGAGATCCTGAATATGGTTATTTATGATTTTTTTTCCCCTTTGTTCATTTTTGTTTACTACAAATAGATTTTTTATTTCTATTTTTGCATGATCAGATACCTCTGACATATAGACTAGGGTCACAGATAAATAGAAGATTAACTGAACCTCAGATTTTTCACAGGTCCTCTTTCATGGGTTTGTTGGATCCTTTCCTTGTACAGAAAATGTATCCCAGAATCCTCTTAGGTTCTTCATCCGGTGCCTTCATCATTTTTTATGCTCAGGCTGCACAATATGCTGTCAAAGTTAAGGAACAGGAAATGAATTCAATAAATTTAATTAGGACGAATGAGTAGGTAAATATCAGAAATATTACAGTAGGACTTTGTGAAAAAAGCAGCTAAAGACCAAAGAAAAATGTTACCTTTACACAGGTGTCAAACTCCAGTCTCGAAGGGCCACTGTGCATCAGTGTTTAGATGTGCCACTGGCACAAAACACTGGAATGAAATGGTTTTATTTCCTCCTCCTTGTGTGGATCAGTTCTCCAGAGCCTCAGTGACCTAATTATTTTATTCAGCTGGAGTTTGACGCCCATGCCTTAAGACATTCACTTTGTAGGATTATAAAGAAAAGTCTGATCAATTGCTAGTTCTTCTATATGTAAGAAATGATTAGCGTTTTCATAATAAAAAACAGAAACACAGTTCTCTGACTGGAGGCAAAAAACCCATAATAACATAATTACCAATTGACTACAGAATTGAGGCACTTTGAGAGCAAACAACATATGTTGTAAATACATAAATATATTAAATTAAATTTTTCATGAGATCTGGGTCTATTAATAATAGTCTTATGACGCCCGTGTCATAAGGTATCTCAGTAATTATGTCGCTATTGGCTTAAGCTCCTGGAGGACATAATGGCCACTTTCCCCCACTTTACTTATTCCCTTCATTCACCAATAATCTGCAGCTATCACTGACATTACCATAATGTTCTCTCTCTTTTTGTTCTCTATATTGAAGCTACAGCTGGAGTGTTCTTTTAATAAAGATTAACTGATTGTTTAATTGTTTTCTGTATAAGTGATATGCTGCTGAATATATTTTGAATACAAAAAACACAAAAAATTTCAATGTATATATAAAAAAACATTTTAAAAAATGGGTAAAAATCAGATCCTGTCATTATTGATGATTTTAGGTTTTGACCAATACATGTGTTAAGATCCTGGTGAGCAGCTCTCAGTTGCTCTAGACCAAAACAATTTTATGTTGTTTTATGATGTTTTCAGAAATGTCTGTATTATTGCGATCTGAATCTCTGAATTTAATTTCTTTACATTTTATTCTTCCAGTTATATGAACAAATTTTCACTTAAACTACGTGTTTGCAAAGGTTTAAAGAAAATTTAAAGAAAATTATAAACTGAGCCTGGTTGATAATATAGGGTAATATAGGGTTCTAGGTGCTTCCCCTTTAGCTGCAGTTGGTTAATCACTCTGAATAAGAAACTCAACCATAGTATTAAATGTCTCATTTAATAAATTATCTGAATGTGTAATAACTGTTTAGACGTCCAGGTAGTAAAAATATCATCTTCATGCGGTTAAATCTATAATCACTGAAAAAGAAAACATATTTAAGCTACATTGAAGTCCTTTACCATCCAATATGGACAGAGTTTACCACAGGAGTGTAAATATCTGTATTTGCTGGGAAGAATCTCAACAACAGGCTGAACTCAGTTACTCAGGTGATGAACCAATCAGAATGGGCCATCTTCCATTGTGATCAGTGATCTGCAGATCAAAGACGATCAATTCTCAATTTTCCAGTGAAATTCAATAACACTAAGAACTCATTAATAACAAATAAACCATCAACCTTTTGGGTTGTGTGTTTGAAGCTTAATGGTTTTTTTAGTTTTTAGTTTTTTTAAGCTGAGGGACATGATTTGAAGCGTAAGTGGAAATTAATTCAATTCAAAAATACTATATTTATCCCAAAAAGAAATTAAAGTTTGTTGTAACTTGTATCATCCAACGCTTTTGTTGTGGATGATGATATTGTGGGCAGGAAGGATCTAATTGTCCTGAGATGCTGTTATCTCAATATCCAAGGACAGAGACAATATTCCACAATAGCTTGTTTTGGATGACTCCATCAGTTGTTGACAAGTACTGCTAATCATCCACCTTTGCTTTTGCCACTTTTTTGTCTGGCCATTTGGGAATCATCCTAATTATTTTTAGACAAAATATATTCTTTATCAAAGAGACTACAGCACAGGTTTTTGTCTACATATTAGTATAAAAACATGGAATCAGAATGTCAGACTTTTAAAGAATGTCAGACTTTTAAAAAAAATTTATGTTTTAAATATAGACTGGATGATTAATAATATAAGTCATTTTTACCTACTGCTGACGACAATGACACAGTAAAAACATTTGTGATGTATCATAAGACTAGATTCATATTCAAGATTAATAATAAAAAAAAATCATTATCAGTTGTTACAAAATATACCAGTTTGAGCAAAAATACATTTCAAAATATACTTTCTATGAATACACTATATTCAATACCACAAAAACTAAAGATGAACATATGCACATAAAAAAGCCTGGCTTTTTAAGTGCATATGATTTTCATAGGCTTTTCAAGGAAAAAACCTATGAAAAACATATCTTCCTAATTTTTAGTTGCATTTTTCTGTGCTTAGTCTTATGTTTACTAACTGAAGCCCCAATCCTTAGAAGCAGACAATACATTGCCCCTGACTTCAGTCAATTAGTCTGATGCTCATTATGTGTTGTTTAAAATTTTATATTCGTTTTCGGTCTTCTTAAAGAGTTGTGCCAGTCCTTAAAAGCTCTTCCAATTGCTTACAAAATTTCTTTACCTGAAAATAGTCTGCTTTACTCAAGAAAGTCGAAGGCTGGAAGCCCAGCAATCCACCTGCAGGCTGGAGCTCGTCACCCCAAAACGGAAAAACACTCCGCATTCGCTTTCAAAATAAAAGCTGGTTTCAAAAATCAAAGCGACAATTTCACAGAAATAAACACCAAATAAACTCATATTTCACTCATAATTAGAAAAATTGTTTATTTATTAATAAAGGTACTGAAGTAGAACATTCATTTCAAAATGTGTTCTTTACAATAAAATGTAGAACTTCAAAGAAACTTCCAAAGTAACACAGAGCATCTCTCTTTCTTCCATTAATTTTAAGAATATAAATATTATATACTGTATGGAAAGTTAAAATATTACTGTAAAATTGAAGCTGGCAAGGGGGTAAAAACTGTGATGAAACCACGCCAGAGAGATGCTGGTAATTGGGAGGGTTGCGGAGAGTTCAATGGCCTGTC